TTATTTGCCTTGGGTTTTTTATTCAGGACTTAGTTGTTATCAGTTACATAAATGGAGGCATAAAGTAAAGAAAATACATGTTTGTGACTGTTGGTTACTGCGGACTGTGGTTGCATACCTTGATTTTCTGACTCCCATACTTTTTGTCAATCACGTATGTCGTGAAATGCGTGCGAAATTGTCAAATACGTATGTATGTGTTAGATGGGGCAACTCACTCCCAAATTATCTCCATCACATTTGAGCTGGTTCTCGGCTTCAGAAATACTTATATTCTCCAGGTTCTGATTGACCACCTTTTCCAAATGCATTTGCTCTTTAACGTCTCCTCCAGCAACGAATCAAGAGTATGCCTAGGTCTAAGACTGGAAGTACAGCGAGCTCTGGGCTACTCATAACATGCAACATTTATATTCGATGGTAACTTTTGTTTAAATCATTGATGCTACGAACGTATTTGCTAAATAATACGTTGAATGGAAAATAATGCGCAGCATATTACTTTATGTGTTGCACGGGACCTAGGAAGTGACAAGCGCTTCCTTTTACTCCACACATGCACATACTTTTGGCATGTGCCTGAAATGCTCAAATCCATTTTTGTCGATTACTAACTTGCAGGAAGCACAACCATTCTTTCGGTAGTCTTCAGACTGAAATCTAAGTGTTGTTTAAAATACACACCCTGTGTTAGCCTACTCAAATCACGGTACCAGGCAGGCTTTGAGTGAACTTACTTAGGAAGTCTGAACGCACTCAGGTGCTTCGTACGTAAATGCTCAGGCATGTTCGCGGCGTTCCATAGTGAGCTACAGGAAGTAATTATCCGCGATGGGAATCATTTCTGATATGCTCCCACCGGTCGCCGTTTTCACTCTCGTCGCACGCCCATGCCACTTTTATGAGTAATAATCCCGACAAAATGATTCCCAGTGCGTGACAACTATGTTATGCGTGGAAGCACTGACTGTGAGAAGCCATAACTGGATAAGATTTTGGATCTCTCCAGAGAGAATTCTCGTTCTTGTTTTGTCAATAAATATTTTAGCTTGCTGGGACGTATCTAAAGGACTGGGGCTCTGGACACCTGGCCCACGACCGCATGTTTCTGTGCGTGATGCTGTGTAAAATGTCGGGAGCAGGCAGGTGTGCTTGGTTTTGGTACTCTAGAGTTAAGCTGTCCTAGAATGGATTACTATTCTCTCTGACTCATGGCAAATGCAGGGAAATTTGGTGATTAAATAATTGTGAGATGAAATAAAAAGATAAACACAGCGTTGTTTTTATTGCTGTTTTATGTGGCTGTTGCCTTTTGCAGTTGTAAGAGGCCCGCTTATCTCACTCAGCATGCCATCATGCCAAAAGCTGGTAGATAAGCTCAGCTTACAGCCGGAGAGCTATGCCCAGCTCCACGAACGTTCATCCAGCCCATTTCTGGTTGACATGGCAACAGCTTGATTGCTGACTGTCTCGATGGCCTCAGTGGGGCACCCTCCGGACGGACTTGGAGCCTGTCCAATCCGGCCAGTCGGGGTATTTGCCGGCCCCACCGGCATGTTTTAATCCCGTCGAATGGCAGGTACCACCGACAAACAACCCTTTCTGTTCGCGAAAATAAAGAGTGTTTTTGATACGTTACGCACCCTTCGCTCTCTCACAAGCTCCGCGCCTCTGCCTGGCAGTCTGGCTCAGACCCGGGTTAAGAACTGAGGCGACCGGTGAACCGGCTCTAATTCGAGCAGCGCTCTGGCCTAGTTCCCAGGGTTTTTTGAGCCACATCGCCAATGCAAACAGGCGGCAGCGGCGGCGGCGGCGGCGGCGCGGGGACAAGTGCGCCCCCGGTCGGCGTCCCCTCGCAGGCCCATTATCGTCCGGTGTCCGGTAAACAAGCGGAGGCGCCGCTTGGCTCCGGGCCGGCACGGCGCCGCCGCTCCGGAGAAATCGAAAGTGAAACGCCGCGCGGCTGACTGCGCTCCCGTTACGGCCAGCTGGCGGCTCCGGCGCTGCGTGAGCCGCATCGAGGCACCGGGCTGGGCTCGGCGACACTGTCGAGTCTCCTGTGTCCTCCACCAAAACCGTGCCTGCACAGTGCGCGGTCTTTTGTGTTGGGCCGTGGGTACACGTACCATCAAAGACGGCTCTACTGCACGCCAGGAGGCCGAGAGCTTGCTGACATTGGGTAGAAGTGTACAGGACAATCTTATGTTGGTGTTTCTCTTGTCCAGAGCGGACAGTGTTCTTATCGCAATCAAAGTATATCCCGGAATGTTTCTTTTAAGCGTGCGTGGTGCCCCGATCATACGTAGTAGAGTAAATGTGAAAGACCAACGTCTTCCGTGGTGGAGGCTCGACCTAAACGCACGCTTGGCCGGTGCAGTGATGATCGCGGTGTTATCTGCCCGTACCGCCATCGCTTCAAGCCCTGCTCAATATATCATGACACTCCCATATCTCTTAGGCCTCCCACGAAAGTGTTCGCCAGTCTGGCGACGCACTACCGAGCATCTCCTACCCCCCGCCCCCCCCCCCCCCCCCCCGCCTGCCAGCGAGCGGCGCCCACGATCACGCAAAACTGTGGCCACTCTCGCCGGTCGGTCACGCTGCAGATGACTTGCAGATCGGCAAGCTGCTTCCGTGTTACGCAAGGCAGATGTCGCGCGCAGCGAATCAGCATTCACGATGTCGACTAGTGCATCCCATCACCGCTGAGTTATCGAACGAGGTCCCGGGTCCTTGCACATCTTCTATTTGCCTGGCAGAAAGCTCCGCAAATGCGAACTTATGGAACAAAATACTAATTGATTATTCTTGTGAGAACAGTATACCTTGGGAGCGATAATGTCACCCGAGTTTCCATATTTTCACTATCAAGTTAATATGAGTGACGTAATTTGTCGCCTGACCTCATATTTATAACCATGATCTACATTTTCCTCAAGTAACAGCGCGTTGCTGATTGTAGATCAAGATCAAGAGCATCAAGATACCAAGCATGCCACGAACTATAATTCCCTAGCTGGTACAACTTCACGCTACTTCCGCGTAGTATTCAGCACTAAATTATCCTCCAGTCGTGGGTTTTTCACAATGTTCATAGTTCTGACTAACCGGACATGCTGCGGCGCGCTGTCCTTTCCGTCCTGCGCCGGCTGCCTTCCTGTGGTGTTCCCGCGGAACTCAGGCTATGTGGTTAGATCACTGAGCGCCAGCGTCTTGCTCGGCCTGGGGAAAATAGCGGGTTATACAATGATGAAGCGAATAAAATTAGTTTTGGACCAAGAAAGCTATTGGCATCTTCACACCTATAGATAACTAACGACCTTGTCTAACTTTCCTATTCTTATGAGATATGGGGCCTAATGGCCTCATAGGCCTTTCATAAAGACAAAGTATGATTTGAGTAGCCACCTGTAACACTATTACCTAGGACATAAAGTTTTTACAGTAAGTCCCACGTTATGCTACTTCATGTGCATTATGCAAAATATAGTTGACAGTGTGCTTGTGAGTGTCTGAAGGCTCCCGGGGTAATGGCCCTTGTCTTGTTTTAGCAATGTTAATTTTTCTTACTTTATCTACATATTTGCTACGTTAGCGCCTTTTTTACATTATGGCGCCCATAACTGACATTAGTAAAAGCAAATGTTGCATCGCTGCCGTCCGTCGCCCAGCCCCCAGGTGCCGGCAGTCTGGAGGCAGTGACGCCACGTCATCCGCGGCGCGAATCACCGGTTGGCGGCCTTGCCGCTAGTCCTGCCGCACAAGCAATCCAGTTATACATCAGGTGCCATTGTGCCTGCCAAGGACATGCACGCGGCGCCGAACCGTGTCGTAGTGCACAGGTGGGCTAGCCCGCTGTTTGGCGCCGCAGTCGCCCAGTGCCGAGTTAGCGCCCGCTGCGGCCCTGCAGTCGTCGGTTATGCCCCTGTGCGCCCGCTGCCGTCTCTGGGCGGCGGCAGCTCGGGCGCGGCCAGGGCGGTGGCCTGGCCGGCGGTCGGGGGCACTCCCGGAACAGGGAAAGCCGACGCTATCTCGCGGCCGGCGAAAAATGGCGAATCAGATGCCGGGGTGGTGCCCATGCTAAGGTGCATGGGGTGCATAGCGTTGTAGTGACGCAATGTGTGCATTGTAAAGGCGTCAATACAACTAAACCGACGTGCATGGGCTGGCTGTTGTGGTTCCGGGTTCGTGCGACCACTGTGCAGAATGTGAGCATCAAAAACACTATGTGAGAACTCCACTCAAGACATTGCTACGTGCAGCAATGCAATTAGGCTTTTTGCAATCGAGCGACCAATTAGAGGGTCTTTGTTTCTCTGGCATCAGAAGACTCTACGCCGAGGTCGGGTCAGCCACGTTCGACGTGATCGTTTAGTCAGACTTGCGGGCTGGGCGCGGCATTTTTCCGGGTCAAACGTGCCGAGAACAGTTTATGGGGCCGTCAAGCTCGGGACGGCCGGCTCGTGAGGTTGAGACCATGCGGATGGCTGGTCGGTCGTGCTAGGGATGGCCAGGTCCTGCTGGCCCTGTTCGTCTGGCCGCTGTTGCCTGGCTGGTGCTCCGCTCCGCCCGACTGCAGTCTGATCAGTGCGCTGTTCCCCTCAACTGCCTCTGATCAGTGCGCTGCTCCTCGACTGCCGCCTGATCAGTGCGCTGCTCCGCCAGACTACCGTCTGATCAGTGCGCTGCTCCGCCCGACTGGCGCCTGATCAGTGCTCTGCGCTGTCAGCGAGTCCCCAGCTGAGTGCTGGCCTGCCGGTGCCGCCGGCGGCAGCTGCGCCGGTGTGAGCCGCTGCCGACCCGCAGTCGCTCGATGTCGGCCCCTTGGTAGGACGAGGCCGCCCGGCCGGCGCGCCGCCGCCGGCGGCAGCGCGCCGCCCGGGCCGGCCCGGTACGGCGCGGGCGGCCGGGGGCGGGGGGGGGGGGGGGAGACTTCAAGGCCGTCGGCCGGTCAGCGCCGCCGCCGCCGCCCCACTGGGCCAGAATGTCGGCGGCCGGCAGGGGCAGAGCCAGCGCTGAGCAGCGGCTCCTGTCGGGCGCAGACGACCGGCCGGACTGGGCCGAGCGGCGTCTCCCTCCGCACCATGTGCAGCGCGATGGTGGTGCCGACGCTGGGAAGGGAGCTCTTCAGGTGGGTTCGCGCGCGGGTGATCCGCGGCTTGGAGCTCAGTGTGGGCGCCGTGCGCACTGCGGGCCGATTGGGACTCGGGCGAACCTCGACTTCGAAGAAAGTTGTCCGCACGCTTGAGCTGCTATGAGTTTTGCGACAATCAGTAATGGTAAAGTGCTGCCGACGCAACAGAAAATTAGTCTTTTATCTGAGTTGTAAGGCTCGTTGGTGGGACATCTTGTAGCAAAGTTCTGTCGTTTTGTTTAGAGGCCAAAACTGTTGCTAGTTTCGCTTCCAAAGAAAATTGGCTTGTTATTTGGCACAGGTGAAATTCATCAACTATTGTCACCATCGAAGAAAAGGTTTTCTGGTTTAAATGCGCCATTGACAGGCGGCTGCAAGGCGTGATAGGCTCTTGTAGGGGACATAGCCTCGTCAGTGTGTTAATTTCACGGTTCGAGCGTAGTAGATATCTCTCTCCGGATGAATCCACCGTTACCATGCATTAATACACTTTCTGTCCAACATACATCCAGCGAATGATCGCACTCATGGCTGTCTGTTCAGGTGGCTCACGCTGTGTCCTGAAAGTTGGTGGGTGTTGAGCTCTTGTCGTGGATGCGAGTTTGAGCATTTTATTGCACTGTCGTGCCGCAACCAAGTAAACAGAACTGTGTATGACGATGCTACTTAACTGCTAGATGAGCTCAAAATAGTTCGAAATATCCATTTATATTATCACTAAGGATTACTCATGTAGGCATTGGCGAGAGATACATGCTTGTTATAAAGTAAATATACCCAAGTATGGAGTGCCTCCAACCAAAAATGTCCTAATATCTGACCTCGAACTATTTCTGTTTCGCCTTGATTTGGTTTCCTTCAAACATGGCTTCAGTAACAGAGCTTAAGTGTACTTGGCTAATGACGGCGACAATGAACTGCAAGAGAACGTCAATTTTTTAACCCCATTTCAGCATTGAGGAGCCCGATGAATATAAAGGCACATCGTATGTATTTGGCTGGTTACATCAACAGCATTGCGCTAATAGTATTGCAGTGTGGAAAGACTTGTCCAACTTTTTGACAGCCGCATAGAGGAGCTAAAAATTCACTGCTTGAGCATTGCAAATTGGAAATTGCCTACGACAGTTTCATGTAACTGGAACCGCATGGCTGTGAGCATCAGGGCGCGTATCAGCCTGGCAGTACTTATCGGATTTAGTGCAAGTTACGTGTACGTTGAAAAACACTACAACTCTTTGCACGTGGGACTATGCCATGCTTTTCCGTCATGCACTTGAAACAAAATAAGGCTTTAGTGTGAGCTGTGACGCGTGTAAAAATGGGTTGACCCTCCGAAGGTGTTCTGTAAAGTTAAGATACTGAAAAGGAAAAGCAGGATGTGGATGGCACAACTCTTTGTTTGTTTTTGAACTAATTTCCGTGTCATATGTAAAAGAAGATGTAATTTTCAGCACAAGCTTTCTGGTCCGCTTGTGCAGAAAATGATGTTTATCACATATAATTGAGTAACTTGCCCGAATGCATATCACCATGAATTTGTTTACCGTTCTTTATCCAGATTAAAACATGGCAGGATGAAGGATTTAACACTCACATTGAGTCAATTTTGACACACTTCCCCAGGTAGGACAATAAGATATTGTCTTAGAAATGAACTCGATTGCACTCTACTACTTAATTTTGATGTGACATCACAGTCAGCGTGAACGCTCTCAAAGCGATTGAAAATATACGTTTCAAGTCGCGTGAAGGCTCGCACCATGGACCTATCAGAGAGACCAGCATTACTTTTGCCAGGACTTCCGCACTAAATGATTTAAAAATATCTGAACCGTTCCAGTCTACATTTCTTCTTCTTCCATCCACAATCTTTATACTAGGTCACTGTCCTACTTTTAAATCTCCAAATTGGATTTTATCTTGCTAGGCATGATGTAGGGTTGATCAACTTTACCCGCTTCTTATGATATGATAGTTTGCGTCTTTATGTCCATTTTTATGCTCCCATTATGCTCTTTATCGTTGAACTCGTGATGCGAGCAGAATTGCAAAGACCGCTTCTCGACCATCCTACATTGCAGCACCGGCAGCCAACTCACAGAGCGTGCACCAGCGTTCCGTTATCGCTGTGTGCACTCAGTAATGGTTTTATGAGCCCGCTGCGCAGTGGCGTGCTGGTGTCGTTTTACGCTCAGTTCCTGCCGCCCGCGGGAGCGGTCAGTTGACCTTCTGTACGCCTCGTGTGACCGCCGGGGCGGAGAAGCCTCTGTTTTTGCATGGCCTGCGCTGATTGTTTGGTTCAGACGCGAGGCCGCGGGTGGTCCTTGCTACTCTCTGTCGTCCGTGGGAATCGTCACCCGCCTCTCAGTGCATGGCTGTCAGGCCGTTTGACGAACATTTGCGATTTCTGTTATAGCGCGGTTAAACAAGGAAATCCTTCATGTCTCGGTAGCCATGCAATGCTCAGGATTCAGGTCAGTAAGCTGCTAGGGCTGTTTGAAGCAAAGGCAACGCCATAGGCCCTATCTGCTCAATGGATCTATGTGCTGATGCTTGCATGCACCGCAAAGCAAGCTTTCTCCCGTGTCACGTTTCCTGCGATAGGGTTTGGGGTCGTTATCATCGAACGTTGGACTGCTTCTCGGAGGCGTTTGATAAAGACCCCGAGGTATGCTTCGAGTCCCCTTCGAGAGACGTGTCTGTGCTCTGTACGACTCGCCGGCGCAGATGCTATTGCGCATTGGTTCTGACCAATGACAAGCGCTCCTGGTAGGCCGAGGAATTTAGGTCAAGTCCCACACGTGGCGAAAACGCATGGTAATGGGAGTTGCGAAACACTTTTGCAGTAGCGATGCTTCCGAGAACTTCGCTACATGAACTACACACTTCAGTACTTCACACTTTTTATTGCAATGCATAGGACTTTTCCTATTTCCACGCTCTTAAGGTGTGCTGACATGTTTTCACGAAAGGTTTCTGGGAACAGGCGGGGGGTCGAGAGAAATGTTGTGAATTGGAGCAAGCTACAGAACGCGTAAGTATTTTCGGTGTAAAAGGCTCCGAGATCCCATTTCAGAACGTTCATTTACCGATCAATTATATTTGCTAGGTGACTGAAAATATATTTAAGTTATGATATCAACCAATTTTGCTGCATGACAGCCACGGAAATATTTTCTAGCACTCGATGTAAAACAAAATTGCTAAGCTCTGGGCACGTTGGAAGCAACACATGTCAAATGTGTAGATTTCGAAGCGTTCGAATACATTAACCCTATTTTTGACTAAAGGCCTCGATCTCGTAAAAACCATAATCGAACATCCATCATTGGCATAACCCATTTGGAGTGGTACAAAACAGCTGATTATTGTGTGCGTGTTTGGCTTTGTTTCGACAGCGTGGATGCCCGTATTTGTGTTGTGCGGATCAGTTCATGATTGTCGTATACTGTGGTGCCAGAAGGTGATTGAAGTCCAGAATCCGACATGCCACGGGCCTGGAGATAACTCTCGTGTTCGGTCACGCCAGTTTATGTATAATGCAAGCCTACCATCACCTGGTTCCAAGCCCGATGCTATCAGTCCGCTGGATGTCCCGTGTTGGCCGGCATCAGCCCGTTTGTCGGCCCCACGTCTGTGTCAGAGAGCGCCGCCTCCCGCCAGCTGCCGGCCGGCGCCGGGTCTCGGTCCGGCGCAGGCGGCCTCCTGGCTCCACCAGCTGGCCGGGCCAGTTTCACTCTCATCAGAGGACGCGGCGGCCTGCCGTCGGCGCGAGGCGCGCTCCGGCCCTGCCGTCCGGCACCTCCGCTGTCGACCGGGCCGCGGATGTTCGGCCGGCGGGTGGGGCGGCCCCAGGAGAGGCCTGCCTGCCGTTGCACAGGCCCTGCAGCCGGGTGCAGCGGCGTACGTGGCGGCTGTTACCGGCTGCGCTCGTTGCGGCGACGGCTAAGCGATGCAGGGGGTCTGCATGCCACCCGCTTACAGGGGATATTGCGCCACTGTCGATAGCATCAGAAAATAAAAGGGGATTTGAGGGGGTGCGGTCCATAGCTCTTTCCAAGGTGGGGGAAACTACATAGACTTGCACTGATCTTTCTTAATTTTATTACAAATGGGGCTCACTTTGCAACTCAGCCACTCTAGCGGGCAATGGACTTTCCCAAGATCCACCGACTAACTGGATTCGCCCCTGTCAGCAATCAAGCCTTTGCCTCCTAGAATACCACATGCAAATTAATTTCCTTATTTGATGAGAAGCAGAAATATGTTTAGTAGTAAGTCAATGACTGGGTAGAAAAATGAACAATCCAGGCTGGACTATAATCCATTATTTCGTTCTGGTTTAAGGGTTTGATAACAAAGGAGACAAACTACAATGCAGAAGACCAAAGACAAAGGTAGCAGGATTACGCCATCTTTTTTGTACTGTATTGCAGCACTAATAAGCGCTTATGTGGGCAAGTGGTCAGGGACTTCAATATGACCCCATAGCAGAAGTTTTTAAAGGCAAGATTCTCCAGCAATTGGGCTAGTGTCATCTCGGGAGACATTCTGCTCGCTTGACCCTCTGTAAATCAATCCTGGCTGCGCTGCGGCTGTTAAGCCCCATGCAAGATCGCGGTGTGCAATACGTCCAAGTTTCATAGCAGGAAGTGGCTCGACGATGATAATTATACCAAGGCATATCTCTGTTTAAAATGCAGGGATCGTGCAGTGATTCGCGATGTACTACGCCGAGCAAACGCAAGGTGCATCTTTGGTTTGTGTGTGCCACTTTGTGTTTCGTTATACCTCCGACAAAACATAGACATCTACGCTAAAGCAAGATGCCATTCATAGTTGAACATTTATATATCAAAGATGCGCAACATTTGGGAAAATTATCACGCTTTACAGAAGCTCCCCACATCACTGCAAACTCTTAGTGCAGCCACATCAGGCATCGTTCTGCCCGCCCTTCGCCCTTGACGTGCCCACTCGATGTCGCCCACTTG